CTGGTTCCGTAACTGTGGTATTGGGTCTATCGCCATCTGTTGGTAGGTGTCGGTATCTGCTAGTAGTGCATTGGCTTTCTCGGTTATATAGTCTTCCCTAACATTTCTGAAAAAGGGTCACTCTTTTTTTAATATTAAATTTGATTCTATTTTGAAATCAGCACTCCTGTACATCATTAATTGAAGCGCATTGTTGTCTTGAACAGCTAAGAGAGTTTCACTCATTGCCGTTAAATGATAAAACAAGCATGAAAAAGTACCACATGCTCTTATACTGGATTTATTAACTGTAAATCTATATTTGCCGCCATGACTGACAGCATCTCAGTACAGCGGCATTGCAAAATCCCAGTGTAAATGCTAAAACAAAAGAAGTTCCTCAAACATAAAAATACTATTTATTATTCAGAAACATGAATAGCATGAACAATGGCCATGAAACACCAGCTTCAATCCACAACTAAGGCTTTTATGATTTTTATCAGTTATTACTTAATGTGGCTTCTGGTCATGACATGTGATCACAATGAAAGGGAGCAGTATCAATATTTCTAGTGAAGTATTATTTTTCGATACATTTTTGGCCTTCATTAAAAATACAGACTAAAGGAAATCAAACTATGCCTGTTTATGCTATTGCTATGATGATCAACTAGGGAAAAATCAAACCCTCAGTCTCATTACTCATGAAATAAATATGGTCTTGTTCTACTGCTCCTTTGCCTGTATCCATTATGTCCACTTCCTTTTACATGCGCCACACAGTATACGCTGGTAATTAATAGATTGATCAGATATTTTCACTTTAACACAGGATGTTGCACACTTATCCAGGGAGATGGAGTATATATTTTACACGCAGGTGAAATTGTTATCTACAAAGCAATGTATGTTGTTCTAATCAAAAGTTGAGTGAATTATTTTAATGAATATTTTTAAAAGAAAAATAAATTTAAAATAGCCAATTGTGCTAAAGCAGAGTTAAGAGTGGGTTTGGTTATATCAAACATACTTCTAGGTCTGTGATTCATATCCTCTAAATGCACATAGCAAATTTTAAAACAGTAGATTTAAAATGAAGGGTGAATATTATTTGGAGAAATAATTTAGCAAAGATTTGACAATTGATCTGGTTTACCAATAAAAGTTGTTAATTTGTAAGTAACCTCATAAATCAAAAAAGAGACATGATTTTCATAACATGTAATGTCACTATAGTTCATAATGAATGCCAAGTAGTAGCTGTAAATTAACAAAACACAAGCTGGAATTGTTAGCTCTAAATGTTGAAACACAGCTTTTTAGCCATTGTCTTCACTGAGAAAACCCACTTCACTACTCCCTTTGTTGGTTGGAAAGGTCTCTAATGGTATCTGTATCTTGATGATACAATTCATACATAGGTGTTCATTTAGATTAGCATTTCCTGTATGCATAGTTGACCTGGTTAAAATCTGGGCCTAAATTGGTAGCCATCATGATGTAGATTTTCAAATAATTATATTGAAAATATTATAAATCAATTCAACTGGAATACTAATTCTGATGAGATAAACAAAATTATTTTATAAAGACAAATTACTTATCCCATGTGGATTAAATACTGCAGAAAAAGTATTTAAAAAGACAAAAATCAATGTAAAAGATCTTTATAAAGAATTGATTGAAATTTTCAAACATTCAAAAAGAGGTTTGTAAAGCTTTATCCACTACTTTAGGATTGTCCTTGGCTAAAGCATCAGAAAAAAATAAAATAACATAAAATTTATACTGATTGCTGAAAACTATGCTGCTAAAATTGTGATACATAAATCCACAACTGATATAGGGCCCACTGCAGAAAGTAGGCTCACATTGAACAAGACATAAATCCAGGCTGTTGTCAAATTAGGTTTTAAGTATTTAAGGTTCCCTGGAACTTCTGAACTTGTTTTACTCTCTGGGATTACATATTTTAACACTGCTCACTTAGCTCTTTGATCACGTTGATTTCTACCAGACAGGCAGCAGAGGAAACAAAGTATTACCTGGAATCTAACCTGTAGCCACCAATCTACTATCTGAAGCTGAGCTATAGATATTCACACAATTGTTGTTGGCTTCAAAAATTTCTCTAGTGAATATTTGTTTTTTGTTAATGAGATGCTACAGTATATGATTCATACAAAAATCATACTACCATAGAATAATTGCCCTGTTTATCAAAACTGTACAATATTTATTCCATGCATCATCTTAGTTTAGCACTAGGGTCATTTGTTAAACATAGGCTCCAAATATTCATCAGCAGTTGTTGAATATTAATTATTCAAACCTGACTATAATTACAGAACAAAACAAAGTACCTTCAATTAAGCTACTGTTCATTTTGCAGCGTTAAATACAGCCCGAGGACAGTGCTATTCTTCCACAAATTGGCACAGTTTAGCTAAGAATAGCTTTTGAGTTTGTGTTGTGAAAAACTATCAGCTTGCTGATGATTGTTGAGTTGATAAGAGGATAGAAATTTCATAATGGAGCCCATTAGTCTTTTAACATTGTCAAGCTAATTCAGCAAAGTATCATGAAGCAGCTTTTGTACTTGAAAATAAATTGTAGACAACACCCTTCAACAGTTTCATAAGCTTTTCATATCTGGATGATAGCTTGGTTTTGGAGGAATTTTTTTTCAAAAAAAATAGATCTTGAAGTAAATCTCATTGCATGTAACGTATGATACAATTAAAACTCAACTATAATAGTGTCGCCAACTAATTTACTATGTTAAACATTTCAACTATAAATTAATAAACTTCTATTCTGTGAAAATAAACACATCTGTAACATAGCACATTATGGAGCTAAAACGAACAATGAGATCAGTGAACATTTAATGATGTTTTGTTAATGTTGAGATGAAAATGTCGAATGGGTTTCCCTTCCTCAAACTATGACATGGGATCCTTAATATTCACTCAAGCCATTTGAATAAGTAGATATGAAATCAGTTTATGTCTCAGATCTAAATGACAGCATTTCCAAAAGGTACAACACTTGTTTAGTGCTTTATTGTAATATCAGGCTGGATTATCTGTTCAACCTAGGATTCAAATCCACAGCACCTCAAATGCGCTACATTGAATAACGACAGCTAAATAATGCTTGACACATTAAAGTACAAAAAATAATACAGGTTAGTTGAATGATTGTTACGAGTTCATATCTAAAATTTACTTTCTGGAATAGATTACCAAGAAATTCACTTTTCAGTATATCTGCCAGAAAGAGGAGTTTAGACTGCATTCCAAAACACGAATTGATTCAAAGCTAAAATTGGTATGGTCTCTCTTTACTCATATTGGTTCATGCCTTTATTAGAATTTTGAAAAGAATGCATATTCCCTCCTCACAGACATATAAAGCAAAACAGAGAGGCATTAAGTACTTATACAGCAAAATACAACCATGTAAAATGCTGGGCACTGTGGCGCAGTGCCATTGTTAGTGGCCTATTCAGGCAAAATCCTGGACTTATATGCTGGAGCCAAGAGTTCAAATCCCACATACTAGCTGGAAGAATTAAATTCAATTAATAAATCTGAGGTAAAATGCTGATTTCATTTTTAACAATGGACTGTAATGAAAAAGTGATCACTATCATCACGGTCCTTCAGAAAAAGAAGTCTTCTAACTGTATAGGTTTGGCACATGATTCTAGTGTGGTTATACTTAAGTGCCCTCTGAATTGATGTAGCAAGCCAAGAAAACTAAACTACAAGTTTGTGGCTCACCCCCAATTGCTCAAGGGCGATTAGGAACGCACAGACCCTATAAGCAAATAAATAATTATAATGGGCCTGCAATGCTCACATTCCAAGCACTCATAACAAAAGTCAAATCTATCATCAAGATAAAGCCTTATAACAGCCAGCTTGAACCAGAGTATGTCAATGTTACATGTGGAATAGATTCAGAATTGGCCAAGATTTTGACAAAAATGCAGATATTTCCAATGCAAACTATTCAATATAATATTGACTGTAATTTTTATTAATCAGTATTGATAAGTGCGACCTTATAAAGCACAGATAGTGAGGCTATCACCAAAAAATCAAGTGGCAGTGCAGACTTTTGAAAATCAATTTTATTATTATATTTTCTACTGTGATCTTTGACAAATGTATAATGTCTCTCATGGTAGGAAATCTGACATCCTTACCTATTCTGACCTACCTGTGGCAAAAAAAAATGTGGTTGATTCCTACAGCCTCTGGGCAATTGGGGATTAGCAACAAATGCTGATCTAGCCAGTGACACCCACAACCATGAATTAATAAAAATAAAGTTACTGGTTAATATACAGGTTAAATCTAGGATAACATATACAAAAAATTCCAGTTTGATAAATAATTTGCATCGATCTGTAAAACCCTTGATAAACAATTAAACAAATAGTTATTGCAATATTGCTAGAATGAGAAGCATATCTCTTCAGCTTTGTAGAACAAGCAAGTAACATCTGTACCCAACCAGCCAGCACTTGTAAAACTCACAACAGTGTCTAACATTGGGTGTGATTCTGCAATTGGACAGCATTTGTTATTTAATCCTGTGTGTGCAAATATTTACACTGACATAGTTTTTAGAATTGTCATTCAGACTGGAATGTTCAAGAGGGTATATATGTCAATATAAGGGGCACTGTTCTTTACAGCTAGAAAAAAAATCCTTACACTGTGCCTGTTTTAATTCAACAAAATAGATGACAGACATTTCTCAGAATAATGTCCTGACCAATCACAGTTAACCTGCCTGGTTTAAGATTTAAACGCATTCTCCATTGTAATACCTCTACCAAGAAGAGTTTGTTTGTCAATCAGAACACTCCTCTCAAAAGTATTACTATTAGTTTTCTCTTGGAATTGACATTCCAGGAAATTGTCCTGATGAGTGCAAGACTTCAACATGATGTGTCTTTTTTCAACAGTTGAAAAAAATAAATAATTGTCAACTACAGATCATTTGTTGATTAGTGTATTTCATTAGGACAAGTGATTTTTGCAAACTAGATACAACACCAGCTATCAGAACTGATGTGTTGTGCAAGATAGAGTTAAATTGCACATAACTAAACTTGACACTCATCAAGTGGACAACTGTAAACAAATACAGCTACTAAAAGGTTAAATTTACCATAAAAATAAACTAGCCCATAATAAATGGAACAATATTCATAATAACATAATTTCATTAATTTACAAAGTAATCAACAGGGAAGCAAATCTTTAAAATCCTATTTAACAGAATGCAATTAATAATACTAAAAACAATATTGCAACACAGTATCATTTGTCTCAATTTTAATGTTGAATTGCTGACTTTTTTGCAGTACAAAAATACATTCAGAAATTATTAGTCAACAATAATAAAGTTTAAGCAGAACATGCAAAATTAAACATATTGGCCAGGGTTTCATGGTCACCTTGCTATTGACATTGAAGAAAACTGCCTCCCGAGACCCCATGAGCTCTGTGGACTAGATTCCACTTTCACTAGATTTTCACTTCTACCATTAGTTTCACTCTAGTGTCAAATCACAAGTGTCTCTGGTACGAAGCAGACTATACAGCCAGTCATACTGAAGAATTCTCATGGACATCAAACCAGGAAGTAACAAGTAGGTTTTATCAAGTAGTTTTTGTAACTGTACAGAGAGAAAAGTTAAGATTTGAAGCCATGCATGGGATTAAAGGGAGTTGATGAAATACCAAAAGAAGTATTTTTATGCATTTGTTTATTTTAAAAGGACTCTGGATTTTTAAGATGGAATGGAGAAATTTGACATTCCACACATATAAATTTAAGCTTTCAGGGCCAGAAAGTTGTTCAGCAATAATTATGATTTAGTATATTGTTTAAAAACTCAGTTATATTTCATTCAACATGGCATGTTAAGAGGAAATTTGTACCAATTCACTGTTTTTTGATTATTTCCATCTGTGAGGAATTCAACAGCATACCAGTCACTGGCAGCAGCTTCAAATTCCTGCATTTACCTGTGCATATGCAGACTCTAAAGGTTTCTGTCAGTTTTATGATTATAATGATTGCAAACATTGACAGTTTTGCTGTCATTGCAACCACAAAATCCAGGCCACTGTTCAATTGATAACATCTTCATATAACAGAATTACATCTGCAACTTGTATAACTTTAATTACTGCAATCTCAATAATAAATCAAATATATATTTCTATTTAGCATCTCTCTTCATTAAAAGTTTATTTTTGAAGACGAATATAATGATATGGGTTTATTTTCATTAGAATTCAATATTCTTCAAACGGTTTTCAATCAACTTGGCTAGCATTATAATGGATATTAAGCTAACGAAATTGAGACCACATTTATTAGAAATAAATTTTTTAAAAATTACCAAAAACTCATCTTTGTCCTTTTTTAATGATCTTTTCAAATCAACAAGTGATGCACATATGGTTCTCCTCATTAAATTATGCTATATTCACCCTTGGTCAAAGCCACATCATTAAATCATTATTCTGAATTTCCAGCACAGATGTGCCATTCATTTGGTGCTTACCCTAAAAAGGAGCCTCTTCCTATGCTATTTGCTTAATCACAGCCGATCAACATGTCCTATCATTTTCTTCCTCAGGAGCTAACTTCTCCTTAAATGCATCGGAAGCATTTTCTCAGTAGTGTAAAAGTGATCATCTAGTTTCCTTCCACACTCAGATGACTGCACTAAAACAAATTATTTTCACTGTGATAGGAGTTGAACTGTGGAAGTCAGTCAGCACTCCGATGCAGGTATCAAGCTTTTTAAATGAATTCGTTCTCAGAATGTCAGCATCACTAACATTTATCGCCCATATCTAAATTCCATGGATAAGGTGGTGGTGAGCTACTTTCTTAAACTGCTGCAATCCATGCGGGGTAGATTCATCCACAGTGTTATTAGGGAGGGTGTTCCAGGACTTTGACCCAGCAACTATGAAGGTACAATGATGTGGTTGGAGGTCAGGATGGTGCAAGACTTGGAAAGGAATTTGCAAGTGGTGGTGCTATTGCAGTGGACAACTGAAATTTTCAAAATATTTGCAAAGCTTAACTGAAATCTTTTCATCTACAGTTTGTGCCTGAATTTCCACTCTGAATATTAACATCTGAGGTTCCTCATTAACAGGATAAAGTCAGAAATCTGCAACTATATTACAATTTTACATCTTGCTTCTTTAAACAAGATTAGATAGCTAATGAATTGGCCTCAACACTTAGCAAATCCTGGGACATCTATTACCCCAGTCTTACCCCAACACCCTGCCATCTCACCATCACAGCATTCCAACATTCATAAAATTCTTTTAGCCTTTGTTTCCTCCAATGTGTAACCAAGGAATCTAATCAACATGTTGACCACTGTATGTAAAGAGCCTCCTGACATCAGTCCAAACCATTTTATAAATTTCAACATGTGTCCTGAGGCCATAAAAATCTTTGTAAAGATGCAGATCCTTTTTCTAAACCAAATTTTCCCTTTATTAGAACATACCTTTCCTTATCCCATTGTTTTGAAGTTTGAGTTAAAATTGATTTGATTAATTTCACTCACTGTTTTAGATGTCTCCACATTGAAATGGGACAATCACCCAAATCTCAAAATTTTGCCAAACCTCCTCATAACTCAGTTGTATATTTGTTTTCTGACCATTCTATCTAGCATCTCCAGGTACTTTTGTTCTGGTGACCGAAGTGAGTGCAAAATGTGGTCATACCACAGCACTGCGCAGTTTAAGCATAACTTTGTACATCCTGAAAGGCAGATTTTACTTTTCACCATAAGACTACTGATACCAGATTGGTTATGCATTTCCAACTGCTCACGGTTTCATTTTGCAATTTTTCTTTGCAGCTTTTCATATTGTTAGTAATAGATTTCGATAAGATCAACTTCACAAAGCAGATTGTGACAAACCACAGGTTTTAGATCATTTAGCAATAAAATGCAAGGTCTTCACTTTCAATAAAATGATATAGGGCTGAATTTTTGGCCGGGTTTGGGAAAACCCAACCCACGCACTTTCTTGGCTTGCAACATACACAACCAACCCATGTGAGATTTTCCAAAAGGGATCAAGATTTTCACTGCAACTTGCAACTTACAATGGAGTGCATGGGTATGATGATGGGTAGTTCAGAAGGTCCACCTTGATTCGCCATCAAAACAGCCCAGTTCTCAATATTACTTAAAAGGACCCATAAACTTCATGCTCCACACCAACGCATACGACACATTCCTTGATACCAACCCATCCCTCTCAGATCTTCCTATACCATCTTTATGTAGCCATTCCATCTCATGTTGTTCATGCCAGTTTTATGTCATCTCTATGCTCTGCCCCTACCTATTATCTATGAGCACCCACTTTTATACACTTTACAGTTCTTAGAAGCTATACAACAGCCATGAGAAATATTTTAAACTAATTGGAAATCAGTGAAAGCAAATTCAGTACATTGATACCAGACCATAATCCCAAGGGAAAAGTACTAAGTGCCTATTACATTTTGTAAACAAACAGGAAACCACATCAAAGTCAAACTCTGTTCTTAAAGGTTCAGAAAAGTTTCAATACTTCTTGCATTAATATGCCTCCTCCTGAACTGGAGTTGATGAAATCCAACCAAGTATTAATAATGAACAGCTCTAATAACAAAAGCCTCCAGCCCACTGACAGAACTATTATCAATTCTCATTTCAAGGCAGAGGAACATCAACCTCGGCGGGGGGTTGCAGGCATAGATTTCTTTTTTAGCTTTAAAAGGAATCTTTGTTTAAAGGCAAATCTACCGGTTCAACTAAATTAGAACACCAAAAATGTTTTGGTTTACATTATTTTTAATACATTATGGTACTTTGTCTATTAGAAAAGTACTGTAATGCACGCGAACAACTGCATAATGTTGGTCATTTAAGGATCAACTTACTTTTGCCAGTCAGTCTCATATGCTGAATCACTGCATTAAAAACATATTTACATTTCAATACAAAACTTACAGTAACATTTGAAGGTATTCAAACATTTCACACTTCTCTTTGAGACCATTCTCAAAACCTTTAAGATTTTCCATTCTCTTCACACACAGTCAAAAACTAGCATACTTTTAGCGGACTTCCAAAATCCCTCACTACCAGATAAAACTGGTAAAAGGAAGGGAATTAAATTTCATCCTTGTCTAAAATGGGGAACCTGAGCTCAAAGAAGTGAGGGTGGGGTTTACAAACTAAGCATTCTAGATGTCCAAACATTTGAGGGAGAAAAAAAATGGACAGGATCAGGAATGCAGGGAAAATTTGATTTTCTCCAAATAAAAATCAGTGTGACCTACTGCGCACTGGAATGTACTTCATCACCCAAACATAAATTATGCCACTGGCATCGGATAAAAGAAGAAAGGTGAAAAAGTAATTGTCATGTTCTAATAATGTTTAAATTACTTTAAGAATGTGAATGGTGCATTTAGTTATTTAAGTTTCATGCTAATCTACAGTACAAAATACTTTCTGCAGGCCATAATAGAACAATACTTATTATGGATAATGCCATCATACAAGAACACAAGAGCGTTTTCAGCTAGAAATTGAAAATTGAAAACTAGACACCTTGTATTTAAAGGCACATTCCTTTACAAATGGTTTGCTGGGCAATAACATAGCTTTTTATATTAATTTGATCCAATTTTACAAGATATTTCTACAGTTAATCATTTTCTCTTACAATTGCTACAATGTTTATGACAAAACAAATCTGAATTACATTCTGTTAACCTATTTCATCTTAACATATTTTTGGAATATGTTGAGAATAGTGACTGATACTTCACACCACTCTGATTCTCCATTGTACAAATACTATCATGTAAATTATTCAAGAATCAGGGTGTACTGACCTAAGTGTTTTATTTCAAACTTTATACTTCTTTAGATTCTTCTAACAGCCAAGTAAATATATATTAATTTTAAAAATCAGTTATTTATTGCACCAGAGAGGAATGTTCCTTTAAGATTTAAATAGTGTTGTAAACCTGCTCATTTCTTTATCCAATCTATATTTATAACTTTTAGTCAGATTATAGAACATTGTTACTTTAGTATTTAAATTAGATTTTTCTCCAAACTAATGGAAGTTCTTTGCATTGATAGCAGCGATGTTACAACTAATACAGATTTCTGTATTAGAAAAGCTGTGTTAAGAGTCATCCATTCCACCTAAAGCACCTTTTGGTCTATTAGTTGCAATTGGTGCAAGTTAAGAATAGAATCAGCTATGATCCGGGCCGTAGACCTTTGGTAGCCTCCAGATGTCACCATTAGAATGGGTATCTTACGCTTGCGGGCTGCCTGAAAAACTGCTTGATCTCTTTTAATGATTCCCTAGACAAAAAAAATGAATGAGGAAATAATAAGGACAGTTTTTTTAAAATCATTTATGAGTTATGACATTTCAAGGAAACATTTAACGCCAGCATTCCCCTCAATAAAAGATGAAAATACTAAAGGAGTTACACATTACCTTCAGCTTAACATAAGCATGGTAAATATTTCTCCATTGTAATTCCTGGGGTTTCTTACAAAAATCTCAAAAGATGGGAAAATAAAATCTAAAAAAAAATTGACATTTACAACTACAACTTCCTTTTTATAGAAGCAACACAATTATTCAATGTTGCAGATGAATAGTTATGTATCATATTATTTCAGTTTAAATGATTCAGTATTGAACATCATGTTAGAAGTTCCATGATAAGATGGACAACAGAGCAACAGTTTTCTATTTATTTACAAATCGTACACAAAGTATTCAAAATTAAAAAAGCTTTAAATTAAGCACATTTAGGCAGATAGTAAATACTCTAATGCAAATTAATTGTTCATTTTGAAATGATAAATATTATTTTCCACCTGGGTATCACATACCAGTTAGGTGCAAAGAGTTAAACCACAATCTAATAAAGCTAACTAGAAATTAAGTAATTCCTCAACTTATTTCAATATAATACCTGGGCAGGAAAAAGAAGCCAAAAATTGCAAATATAGAATTGAAGCAAAATGTTTCACAATTGTGAAGTAGGAATTATAAACACAATTTGATCAAACTAATGACATTTCTGGGACAGACACCAATAGAACTGAAACTCTTGGACAAGCAAGTAGAACAAAACATTTTTCTCAAGTTTTCCACATGGTGAAAGACTTGTATTCATCTAAGTTGAATTACGTATGTATGCTTTTGAACAGGTTGAATATTTAACACTTCAAAAATAAGCTGCCTTAAATTTTTTCAGTAATACATTTGCAAAGCATAAAATCTGGATTATTCTTAATTTGTTTTACAAACCTGTGGTGAAATAGCCAATCCTCCTAGTTGATCACCATCTAAGATGTCAGTGCCTGCATTGTACACAATGATGTCTGGAGTGACTTCCTGTAGTGCTTTTGACATCTGTGTTTCCACTTTTTGCAGATACTCCGAATCCTCGGTGTCCCAGTCCAGCTCAATTTTCCACGTGATAGCTCCTGGTAACAATTCATGAATGAACTATTTAAAGCAATCAATCACTTCACACAATTAACTCTATATGACAAATCATCAAATAATGAATCAAACACCATGAATCAAAACCCAGCCTACATTTGTTTACTTAAATAGTAAACAAGTAAATATCCTTTCCAGACATACTATTCTACAGAAAATACAAAAATATTTCAATGACAAATTACTATTGCCAAGAAACATCAGAATATGTAAGATAACACCCGGGTTTCAAAAACTGTAACAAAAAAGTAACATTATGTAACAGAAACAATTGTTACACCAAAACATATCTTTAATTAATACTCAATCACCTTCCTAAACAGTAATGTGCTGAACTTGATCACTGGAATACAACAAACATAAATATAATATCGAGTCCATTGTGATTTCTTGGTTCCCTCCAAACAGATTTCTGCTGCTGCCTCAAGACTCAAACAGTTCTTAAAGGCATAAGTGACATCCTGTTTAACCATAACAAAAAGTTAAACTATCAAACTCCAAAGTGCCTGCATTCTCTAGCAGTTGACGACACTATCCTCCTCCAATGATCTTTCTACCCATTACCCACTCCTCTGGATCTATTCTTACCTAACTAATGACAGCCAGTGTATGGCCCTCAATAGCTTTTCCTTCCAGTCCTACACTACGGTCCACACTACAATCTACAATACAATGCCATGTTTCTCCCAAAATCTATCCTTGATGCCTTCCTATTTCACATCTACACATTGCCCCTCAGCAATAGCATCTAAAACACATAATCATGGTTCCTAGATATATGCTGAAACAACCATGTCTACTTCAATATTACCTCACTTGATCCCTCCTCTGTTTCTAAATTGCCATTTGGCATGTGGTATTGGATGAGTACTAACTTCTTCCAATTAAGTATCAGGAAAACTTAGGCTATTATCTTTACTGGCCATCACAAACTCACTTCCTCACCACTAATTTCATTTTACTCCCTGGCAAACGTCTGAAACTCAGCCAGACGATTTACAACATTTGGTATCATAATGATGATCTTTCAACAACAGAACTGCACCATCACTGACCATGACCATTTCCATGACTAATCATTGCTACTCTCTGCCACAGCCTCAACTCTTCTGCCAAAGCCTTCAACCACATCTTTGAGACCTGGCTTCCTACATTCTACCTTCTCATCCAATACTCTGCTGCTAGCTCCTAACTCACCCACTAGCCTGCTGACCTACATCAGCTCCTGTTTAAACAATGCCTCAATTTTTAAATTTTCATCCTGGTTTTCAAAATCTTTCCTTGGCCCTGACACCTCTCTACCCCTATAAAATCTTGCAGCACTACAGCCCTGTGGAATGTCTTGCCCCCTTGAATTTTAAGCAGTTAATTTTATTTGCTTCACCATTGGTGGCTGTAGCTGCAGCTGCCAAAACCCTAAAACTCTGCAATACCCTCCCTAAGCATGTCCACCTCTCTAGCTCACTTGAAGACATTCTTTAAGACTTACCTCTGTGACCAAGCAATTAGTCATCTAACCTAATATCATCTTTTACAGGTTGATGCCATATTTTGTTCTATAATGCCTTTGGAACCACCTTGGGACATTTAATTACATGAAAGATGCTATATACATACAAGCTATTATTGTTAACTAGAGGTATTCCTGACATGACATATGATAAATTGTCAGGGTCTACAAACAACAATCATTAGAAAATATCATACAATCTGGTGGAAAGACCATTAGGCCAGAATTAAAGCAATGGTGCAACAAATATGCCTTCGGATGACTACAAAGCAGAGTCCAATTCTATTACTGCATGGCAACAATGAAGGAAACTTGAGGACTGATCACTGGGAGAAATTAAGCAGTGATTGAGTAGTGAGTAGCTAGGAATAAGGACATCCATTGACAGCTCACCTACCAGTTCAATTAATGTTAATTAATTAATGGGCAACATAAAGAGGCTTCACTGCAGGTATTACCTCAGAGTTTTGTGATTTGTTGTTTTGCTCAGCTCAATCCAGGCACCGCTAGAGTTTAGCTGTTGATCTTTCAAATGTCTCTCTAACGCCTCCTCCTACATCATGCCTAGGCCCAATAACAACCTGGACTTAGGAGTGTGGGCTCACTGGCATGATGGGACTTGCTGGTGTCCCACTGGTGCCCACCACTCCCAGGGCCACTGCTACATCTACACAGCAGTGAGGAATATAATTGTCCCCAGTCCTCTAAACTGCCTCCCTCGAGGAAGCAGGCAGATATCCCAGCTCTAACAGTTACAAGGCTATGATGTGGTGGTGCCAGCGTTGGACTGAGGGGGACAAGGTCAGAAGTCACATGACACCAGGTTATATTTCAACAGGTTTATTTGAAATCACAAGTTTTCATCTGACTAAGGAGCAACGCTCCGAAAGCTATTTCAAATAAACCTGTTGGACTATAACCTGGTGTCATGTGACTTCTGACCTTGGGTACAATGCTTGCACACAAAAGTAGTTTGATGCAACAAATGATAAACAGAGCTAAGTGTTCCCACAATCAATGGATTAAATCTAAGCTCCACAGTTGCCACATCCAGTCACTAAACGGTAACAATAATTAAGTAACTGACAGGACATTCGACAAATAGCTCCAACCATAACGGTACAGGAAACTAGCCCATCAGTATACAAAAAAAACAAGGATGGTCACAAATGTTTCATCTTCAGGAAGAAGTGCCAAGTAGATGACTGATCTCAGCCTCAGCCAGAGGTCCCCTGCACGGCAAATGCCGGTCATCAATTAATTCAATTAAATCCACCAGATAACAGAACAACTGAGGGCACAGGATACTGCAGCAGTACTGGTAACATGCCAACAGTACTAACTGTTGGCATGTTGCCAGTACATGGCATCTGCATTCACCCAGAAATTTGGCAAATCATCTAGGTATATCTTGTATACAAAGATCTGGACAAATCCAATCCCATTAGTCTACTTTTGATCATCAGCAAAATGAAGAAGGTGTCATCAATTGTGCTATCAAGTGGCACGTACTCAACAATAAGCTGTTCAGTGATGCTCAGTCTGGTTTCTGTCATGGCCATTCAACTCCTAACTTCATTACAACCTTGGTTCAAGCATGATCAAAACAGCTGATTTCTGGAAGTGAGGTGAGAGTCACTGCACTTGACACTAAGACAGGAGTTCATCAGAGTGTGGCATCAAAATGTCCTGGCAAAATTAAATTCAATTGGAATGATTGGAAACTTTGTTACTGGTTGGAGACAAACTTGGCACAAAGGAAGAGGGCTGCATTTGTTGGAGGTTAGTCATCTCAGTTCCAGGACATTACTGCAGGTGTTCCTCAGAGCAGTTTCATAGGCCCAACCAAATTCAACTGCTTCAAATGACATTTTCTCCATCATGAAATCTGAAGTGGAGATGGTCGCTCATCACTATACAATATTCAGCACCTCAGACACTAAAATTGTACCTGGGTAACATTCAGGCTTGGGCTAATAAGTGGCAGGTTATGACACAAGAACCAAACAGACCATCTCCAACAAGAAAGAATCTAACCATCTCCCCTCAATATTCAATGGCATTGCCACAGCTGAAACACTACTATCAAGTGCCATTAAGCAGAAATGGAACTAGACCAGCCATATAAATTTCGTGGCTACAACAGCACGTTAGGGGCTGGACATGCTGTGGTAAATAATTCACCTCCTGACTTCTGAAAACTTGAACACTATCAACAAGACACAAATCAGGAGTTTAATGGAAGACTCTCCTCTTATCTGGATGTGTGCAGCCCTAACACCACTCAAGCAGCTTATTATTATCAAGGGTAAAGCTGCTGCTTGATTGGAACTCCATTCACTATCAATGAATAGTGGCAGCAGGAGGTCTCTTGTGGCACAATGGATAATGTCCCTACCTCTGGGCCAGGAAGCCAGATACGTGAAATAACATAGCTGGGTAGTTTGATTAGAAAATATCTGCAGTGGCGGCAGTGTGAAACACCTACAAGATGAAGTGCAGTATAACAACTCGCCAAGGTACATAGCACCCAAATTTGCAACCTCTACCACATTGAAGGGCAATAGCAGCAGATGCATGGCAACACCATCAACAGCAAATTCCCCTCCAAGCCAGACACCATCACTACTTTGAACTCTTTCATTGTCTTTCGTTCAAAAATCTTAGACCTCCTTTCCTAACAGCTGTGTAGATACACCTACAAAATATCACTTGGAAAAAAGCTAGAGTCCGTTATTAATGGAGAAATAGCAGAACAGTCAGAAAAGCTTACCACAAACAGAATCAACATGGATTTGGGGGTAATGTATCAGCATTTGGATTGGATAACACACAGAAGACAGAGTCAGATTAATGGGTATTTTTCTGGTTGGTAAGATGTAACTACTGGAGTGCTACAAGGGTCAGTTCTAGGTCTTCAATCATTTAATACCCACATTAATTACTTTGAAAAATGGACAGAGTGTAAACATGGCAGAGTTTAATGTCGGGAAGTGTTAGGTTATATACTTTGGTAACGAGAATCAAAAGGCAAATTATCATTTAAATGGTGAGAAACTCCACAAAAGTGCAATACAGAGGAATCTGGGTGTTCTTGTGCATGACACAGAAAATTAGCATGCAAGTTCCTCAAGCAATTAAGGAGGCAAATGGAATTTTGGCCTTTAATGCTTCCCAGTTAGAGATTAAAAACTGGGAATTCTTGTTCCAACTGTACATGATGTTGGTGGTGTCACATTTGGGGTACTGCATAATGTTTTGCTTCCTATATTAAAGGAAGGTTATACTGGCATTGGAGGCAGTTTAGAAGAGATTCAGTTGGCTGAATTCTGAGATGAAAGAGTTGTCTTATCAAGAACAGAAACAGATTTGGCCTTTATTCATTGAATTTAGAAGAATGAGGGGTGATCTTACTAGAAATTAGGAAATTCTGAGGGGGCTAGACAGGGTAGATGTGGAGAAACATGTTTT